TCTTTCCCTTACAAGTGTGATTACCTCAAGGTAACATTTCCTTTGAAGACGACTATCAAAGTCCGTTTTTGTTCTTTTGTGGATGCAGAACACATCTTTCCCTTAGGAGAAATGAGATTGCCAGCTTACATCTTTTAATGGCGTTTAAACTGAAAAGCAGTAAGGTTACTATGAAGTGATCCACCTCCTTTGCATCTTAACCCTGGGGTGGCTTGGTTTCTATTTTCTGTTCAAAGTTCTGCTCAACCCCACTCCACTCCACGCCTCGCTCTCTTCCACCACCTCCCTATCTTGTAAGAGCAACGCAGTATAACACTTCTTCCCATGTCTGGCTGCTTTTAAACTTGGCCCACGCTGGGTGCAAGCGCTTGAAGTGAGCTTTACAAAATTATTTTAAAGTGAGCTGGGGCGGTTGCCACAGCAACCCACCCTGAGAGAGATCGAAGCTATAGATTAATCTACCCCACAAGATTATTCAACAGTACTGTATTTGTTCTTCATTCATTCAGAATATTCCCTCAATCCGTATGCTTTTATAATGAACAAAAGATGTAAACTCAGATAATTTCAAAGATAATAGAATATATATTCCAGGAGCGCAGTTTAAATGCTGAAATGTACATGATTCTTTGCAAAATCATTTAATTGCGAAAAAATATTTGCAGGGTAGACACGGCTGACATATGAACTTTAAATAAAATGGCATGCCATTACTAAAATGGTGTTACACACATCAAGCGATGATTACAGAAAGCCTTTGTCACAGGTGTACCTATACGTACAAAACACAGCGGAGCTTGCTCTCCAGGCTTTGCTTTTAACATTAAATCTGAAAACAATAAATAGTACTTTGTAATATTAAATGCAATAAATATTAAACACTCACCACATACACCCTCTTTATTGTCAAAATCATCCGCCTCCAATGCTTTACTTAATCTTTCCCATAGTAGTTACTTCACAGTTTACAATTCTTGTTCGGCACCTTGGATGTTTAAAAGCACAAAAGTAGTGTGTTATTAAAATGCAAACCTATAGTACTTAAATACATTTAAAGAGATTTATGAAACAATTTCTATAAAAAGAATACGAGTCTTTACTGATGTGCACTTAGGCCTAAAAGGAATATCGCGTGTAAGTAACTTGACGTTTTCAGGAGCTGTAATAAACTCCATCTGAATCCTACCTCAGGGATGCTACGCTATCAATAAAATTACAAAACTATTGATCTTGGACTGTTCTCATCCTCCAATCGGTACTTAGAAAATTATTTATGCTTTCACGTGCACTTTGCAAAACGCGGCTGTATCGTTGTTTTAATAGATGCCGGTTTGAAAGGCCAAAAACAAAAATTAAAAACCCCCGCCGTATTAATTGCTTCCTTCTTCGAGGGAGAGCCGCACGCGGTGGGTGCCACCGCCACCCCCTCGGGCCTGCCTGCGGGAAGGGCGACACGGGGACAACCTTTTTTAACCCAAACCCCCGTTTTTTCTGCGCACCCGTGGCTGCGGGGAGGGGGGGGTCCCCACTGAGACCCGGGGGCGAACAACCCGCTCTG